GGCTGCCGGGAGGGCGTGGGCGTTATTGGGGGAGGGAGGGGGCGGGTGGCAGGCTCGGGGCCGGGCGGCAGAGGGCGCTGTCTGGCGCTGCCACTCCCTCCCTGGCACCCCTGAGCTCCTTTCAATGGCACTGTCTGGTGTCCTTGCCCTTAGGTTGCCAGCACGATAACCCCGGACGTTCCCAGTAGAAAACTACAACACAGACCTGTTGCAGGCCGGAGAGTTGCTCTATTGTTTTTCTCCAGTTTAAAACAAAAAAGTTTGAAACTTAAGTGCTGGCATTTTCCTTCAGTCTAATGAGGGGCACCTTGAGTGTAAAAATGTGGAGAACCACCGGTCTAGTACCTGATCATGTTTAAGCATGGGCTTAGATGCCAGTTTGTTTTCCACCTTGCTGACGGAATTATGTAGGGTTACGCCAATACATGTTTGCACCGATAAAAGGAAAATTGTCGGCAGTTGGGTTTTTTTGGATGATGGTACCGATAAATGCCGTGTGCATGCGCGCAGGTCTGTAGTGTGGAGAGCAGCATCCAGCTAGTAAGTCTGTTGTGGGGGAAAAGCGCATGGGGGGGTGCAGTCCAAGGCCCCCACAGTAAGGGAAGAAGTGGGGCTGGGGCAGGCGCAGGCGTTGCCCAGACAGGGTGGGGTGGAGCACAGGACAGAGCCATAAGTGGTTCATCCAGGGGGCGTGGGGAGGGGGGCTGGCTCCCACTACTGCATGTACCCCAGGAGGCATGGAGGATGTGTGCTTCCCGGATTTGTGCGCAGGGCAAAAGCCGGCTGTCACTGCAGGTTGAGGGCAGCACTGGGCTTTCCCTGGCGGAGGTGGGGGGTTTGGGCCAGGGCTGCACTTGGGGCAGCCAGCAGCTCTGGGAAGGGACTACAGGGCGGGTTGCAGCCACCCCAAAATTTGCTGTGGCTCCCTGTATAGTAGCACAACTATCACCCACCCCAAGTGCAGTTTCCCCCTGCCAGGAAAAGCCGGTGCCACCCCTGACCCCAGCCCACAGCAGCAGCCTGCACTCACCCCCTGCACAGATCCAGGGGACACATGCGCCCCTCCCCCCCATGTCTTCTGGGATGCATGGAGCAGTGGGAGCCGCCCCTCCCTGCACCCCCAGATAAGCCACGGCTCCATCCCATGCCCCACTTCCATCCCACCTGGGCAGCGCCCAGCCCTTCCCGAGCCCCACTCCCTCCCCAGGACCTGGACCTGCACCCCCCTTGCCTCTTCCCCACCCCTCAACAGTCTTACCACCTAAACGCTGTTCTCCATCCTGCCAGGCTGCAGTATCGACAACTGGATCGGTGTCGGCTGATACCGATCCAGGCTTGTTAAAAATCGGTCATTGGTATCGGCCCAAAAGAACTCTATCGGCGCACCTCTAGAATTTTGTAAACTTACATCTTTCTGTGTCTTTGTTTTTGCCGCCTGTGATCGGGGTGCTTTTCCTGTCTCTCGGGGGTATTTTTAACTGAATTTGCTAATGTTTGAAACACTTTTGTGCCCCATTTTTGGAAGACTTGTAGTTATATAATCATCGATTTTTTTTTTTTTATGAACAATTTGAAGACTTTCTATCCACCAAAGTGTATCCATTAGAATTTCTCAGTTGAAAAGGGCTGGTCATTTTCTTTCACTTTATGATTCTGATATACAAGCAGGAAGGACTCTGTTATTTAAAATTATAAGTGCTTTTTGAGAAGAGCATAGATAAGAAAATTGTGCTTTCTCAGAAGGGGAATATTTCTCCCTTCTGTTGTTCCAAGAAAATAGTAACATCACAGGATGTAAACCAGCTGCCATCATTGTATTATCTGTAATATTTGCTAGAGGTGCATTGATAACGTCTGTCCCATATTGGATTGACAGCAATATAAGGAAAAGACAGCGGTGGCACTGGGAGGGGGGTTTGAGAGCTGTGGCAAATTTTGGGGTGCCTGCCCCCCCAGTAACCCCGCTCCAAGCTCTGCCGCCCCAGCCCGCAGCAGCAGCTCACCCTCACCCCACACAAATTCAGGGGCACAAGCCCCCATGCTCTCCCGGGGTGTGTGCAGCAGGGGAACTGCTCCTCCCTTCCTGTGCGCCCAATTATACCCAATTATATGCAGTTTTAGAAATAAGCTATAGTGTTGTAAGAACTGTTAAACTAGCATCACCATGTGCAGTTAAGGTTACTGCTACTAAAACTGAAATAATTACATAAGTACAAAAGCTGTGTAGACAAGCTCTTTGTGCAACACAGAGAAATACAAAATAAACTTCTCACCAAAGTAATAGAACAGCATAAACAATGCTGGCAATAAGTATCAATGTATCAGCAGGCTTGAAAAAGAAAATCCAGGTTTTCTTCGGATTCTGTGACAATAGTATTCTTTCTGGGTGTTTTCCTGATGGATGGTTTTCTGTTATGGTGTTTGTGAAATAGCATTGACAATAATGTGTCATTCTGCAGAACAACAATACTTTGAAGTTGAAAAACGTCTGGCTCAGAGTCAGGAAAGACTTGTAAATCAGACACAAGAATGTCAAACCCTCCGTCAGGAGTTAAATAAACTAAGTAAGTATGTAGTATTTAAATAAACTAAATATGTTATATTTTGTAAGTTTTTCCTTAAAACTTCTGAAATTGTTTTGAAATGCTTAAAAATGTATGTCAGATAAAAATCCATAAAATAAGTGTCATTCATGCCTGCGCTCTACACTCAATTGCCCTGGAGTAAAATAGCCTTGTATATGTTAAAAAACAGAAGTTCAGATTAAGGAGATCCTTATGCCCAAAAGGGTTAGTTTGGAGACTCCCTAACATAGATTAGTCTTAGATTCTTCAATATTAATAAGAAAACCACTGAATACATAGCTATGTTACTTAATTATTTTATTGGAGAAGGAGAGATGTTTAATTCTTGTCAGACTTGAAAGACCATGAGTTAACTAAATAAATACTTCAGCTTCATTTTTTTAACACCAAAATAATGTCTTACTGTTCCATATTGTACCACAGATGAACAGTTGAAGTCCCTGAGTGAGAAAAGCAAAGAACTAGAGGCTGCTCAGGATCGCAGTGCTACCATCCAGGTACAGGACGTGCTGTATATAGCCATATAAAGCTGTAGTTTTTTGAATGATTTTGGAATACATGGTGGATGTTTTGTCTGGTGTCTGACAGCAGTAACAATTTATCTGATATGTTCATCAAGCATATAGATTAAAGCCACTAGGGCCTCATGTGCACTAACAACTTTTAATCTTTTTAAATCATTTTTTGACCTTTAGCTCAGTATGAGTGGCTTATACTAGTTCAGTTCTTAAATTTGTTTAGCTTAGATTCCTTAGGTCAGGTTTATGGGGCTGCATTCAGGAAGCAGTTCAGGTCCAGGGGCATGTAGATGCACAGTGCTTTATTTGGGCAGTACTGCACCAAAGGTGCATGACAGCAAAGATTCAGGCACATGTGGCAGCAGAAAGGTCTGGCCAGGTGGTATCACAGACCTGGAGGCAGGCGATTGAGCAGAGATGCATTTAGGAGCAATGCAGACATGAAAAAATGACTGTAGGCTGCAGCCCCGTGTTTCCACATTGCCATCCAAATGTGGCTGTACAACTGCACACCCGGCTTTGTGCAGTATGGAATGGTGTCTGGTTGGCAGTACCAGGTGCATGTGGCAGTGTGGAGCATGTCCAGTAGACTACTGGTGGGCCTTGTGCAAAGGTTCCATAGGCTGGATCTGACCTGTGGGCAGTATATTTGCTCTAAGGAAGTCTCAGGGTGCTCAAGGGAGTGGCATTAGTTCAGTAGGAGACATCTTTTCCTCTGAACTAGAACTAAGTGTATTTATCAGCATAGAGCTGTAAAACAACGGCAGATGCAAGATTCCATTTTTTTCTGAGTCAGTAACAAATTTGCTTGCACTATTCCCATGTAGTCTATATTTTGAATGCTTCCACTTTATCTTGCATGCTAGGATTGATAGTTTTGTTTTGTTTTTTTGCATTGAGTATAGTTAGGATGACAACTTGCGCTTATTATCTGTGGATAATAATTTATTAGTAAGTTTAAATAATACCTGTAGGGTTCAATGTAAAACTAAAAACATTTTTGTTGTTTAATTTAAGAGTAAGCTTACCAGAGAAAAAGAAGAATTGGAAGCTGAAAAAAGAGATTTAGTTCGAACGAGTGAAAGGCGATCTCAAGAAGTTGAACATTTAAATGGTATGGCCAGTAAATATATTTAAAGCGTAATAAGCATAGATTACTTTATGGTGCAAAAAACCCACCTGCTTCTAGGGTTATACTTAAACCTAAACTACATAAGGGTTCTCTCTATGTTTTTAATGGGTAGTTCTTGGCATTATAGTAGAGGGAAATAGAGAAAATGTAGGCCATGTATATGATGTAGTACAGTGCTGTATAAAAACGGCTGTGCTGGTTTCGGATGAGTTGGTATGTTCATACTGCCTAGTAGAATACTGTATATGGATACAGGCTTGTTTTTTGGGATGTTTAGAGCCACTTCTCAGCTAGAGTAATTATCCCAAATGGGTCAGTGTGTTATTGTGGCAA